TAGCAGCGGAAAGCGGGCATAAAGATTCACAAACTTATCGAGATGCAATTTTAGTGGGCGTTTACAAGCACTTTTAACTCGCTTTGCCCGCTTGCAACAGCGTGTTTAGCACACTTAGAACAATTATTATGTGTTCTTTAGGTAGGTGCAATAGTTGAGAAGTGGTCCTATTTTTTACATTAATTTGTTTAAGCTTTTGTGTGGTCTGTTTAGTATTACGTAGTGTAAAAATAATTGTCAATTCCCCTCCCAATATACAATATTATCAAATAAATAAATGTCTAGCGCAAGACAATACCTACATGAATATATTTTAAATAACACTATGTAACAAATTTTCAAAAAGGATCTATTTCCAGTGCCGCCTTGTGCTGCCACCTTACCTATTTCTGCCGCTGAGCAGTAATGTCAGCGTTACTGTGTTCCGGTTTTGAAGGGTAAGAGTGCTGGTGAAATTACAGGTTATTGTCAACTTATATCTCAGGGTGATAGGTGCAGTGGCAGTGCTCCTCAGATCATTGCGATTTTTTTTTATAACATCAAGTGAGGGGACGAACAAGGCGTGTGCCTGTTGGTAAACTACACGCCTGTCCATAAATTTCTACTTTCTTGTCCTGATCACTTTTCTTTTGTAATAACCACTTGACGGGACGAACAAGTCGTGCGCTTGGTGGTCAACATTTAGAATTAGATCCGGTCACATTCCACTAAATAAATTTTATCACTTGATAGGTAGCAAAGCCTCACCCCTCTGCAATTATTGTAAAATAATAAAAGACCTGGATCCACCTGTTAGTGAAGTGTCACCACACTAGGGCTGCAAGAATACATACGATTTGGAATTGAGGAGATTGAACGGAATGAAGACATAAATATTGTTTTGTGACACCCGCCACACAAAGTAGCCAAAAAGATCTATACTTACGTAACATATTGCTTAATATATTATTATGATGCCTAAGAGGCAACAAACACCATATTATAGTATAGTGTTAAAGGCCTTGTTAAAAATAAAGATACAGCACGAAATTACACTCAAATTAAACAAAATCGAGAGTTTCCATATCTTACGTGACACGCAACATAATGGTTTTTTCAACCGACTTAAAAAAAAGGAGGAGGTTCTCAATTCGTCTGTATGTTTTTTTTGTATGTATGTTACGCGATAGCTCCGGTATTTCTGAACCGATTTTCATGATTCTTTCTTTGTTGGAAAGAGGGTACCTCCATAGTGATCCCAATTGATTTTGAAGAAAATCATCCACCTCTAAGGGTGGCTGATCACGCATGAAGATTCATTTATATAAATAGCGCCTAAATTTTATTATAAGGAGCATTTATTTTAATGGTTGATTTTGCTATTCGGCAATTCAAGGCGTTTTTCTCTCTCAATATACTTTGAGTAGTGAGAACCGATTTTTATTATCTCCAGTATCAAGTCCTGTATAGTGGCGAACTAGGGGATATTTCAATAAAACTTGGCAAATAGATGTAATTCCACGTACCTACTTTTGAGGTCGGTTTTTTTAGTACTCTGTACGGAGATCACATTTTAAATTTTTTTGTCGTACTATTGTGTTTCTGTGATTTTATTGAATTTGAAGCACGCTGTTGTATCGGTAGTTTCTTAAATTTTAATTTCAGTTTTATTTAAGAGCATTGTCAAGAGAACGTTGAGCTTCAAGCTTTTAAAATTCAATTCTATATCACTTACTATTTCAACGGTCGAAAGTCCAAAATGTTTAAATGATGTGCTTTTAATGTGTACCTTCAGTAGATAAACATACGAAAGTGAGTTTATTACAAAACTTATTATACCTATTAGTAGCAGGAGAGCTCCCTGTGAAAGGGTTCGTCTAGAGACGTACTGCCACCATATCTACTTCTGTAGCCAAGCAGTAATGCGAGCATTACTGCTTTCCTGTTTGGAACGGTAAATGGTGCTGGTGAAATTACAGGCAGATGGGACTTGTCAACTTATGTCTCAAGATGATAGGTTCAGTGGCAGTGTCGCTCAGATCTTTGCGATTTAAAGCTCTGAGTGGCACTGCAACTTTTACGGACTGGCGTATAGTTTACCACCAGTCACACGACTTGTTCGTCCCGTCACTTAATATTAAAAAACAACTTATATTCATAATTTTTGTTATCTAATATATTTTTATTTTTTCGCATTCAAAACACTCGTAGCCAATGCAAGCCAAGCACGACTTGTCTCATAGCCCGCATGCTAGCATAGCCCCATGGTTTTAAATGACATCGAATAATTTAAATTATACAAAAATAATCACCTCAGAGAAACGTCTTCCAAATTAAACATAAAATCAAAGATATGCAGCACACTATTAGGTGTTTCTTAGTGTCCGTAGCAGTCGTGGCTGCTTACCATTATCTGCATATTAAAAAGTAAAAGTTACAATTTTAATTAAAACAAAGAGAAGAAATACCAGTAACCAAAGACAAAAACAGAGAAGTAAGTCAATTAATCTGTGACAATGACGACCGGTAAATGAAATGTTTGAAACCATAGATTTAGTATGTACCATTTAATTTTGAAACCGTAAAAAGAATACATTTTTTTATTATTAAATCCTTTTTTATATAATATTTATATAAGGTTATTGGTATGTGTTTCAAATTACAAGACCTAATTGAATGAAATGGATAGAAAAGAGCAAATCAAGTTCATGTTATTTGTAATGTCAATGACGTCGTGTGTCGCATTCTCGTTCGGATTCTTCCAATTACCGTTACCGTTTTGGAAAAAAGAAACCTCGGCTAAGCCCAAGCTGATAGAGAGGCAAGCAATAGTCCACAGACCTGACGGCGGTGGGACGAGGCATATTTTGGAACCGCACACAAGCTGAACTTAGTGCAAATGAACGATGTGACTTCAACACAACATTTTGTTTAAGTGTTTTTAATAATGTTATTGATGTGCGTGAAATTATCTTATATTTATAAACAGTAAGCACCTCATCACTGCAAGAATATGGTATTTATTTAATTTGGCCTATAATTACTATACATCGGAGATGTGTAGTAGTGTCCAGGATGTAAATTTGGCGTCAGAACCTAAGACTTCAGCGAATCGTAAGCGTTCATTATGAAAGCATCCACTCACGTGCCAAACTAATGTTACATATCCAATAATAATAAGATTATAATAGTGTAATGTGCACTTGCATAAAAAATTATAATTCCAGATTATCAATAGGAATCCATGACTATCTCCAAGAGAACCCGATGTTCATACATAGCATAGGTACTGCACTAAGTAGAATACTAACGATCGTTCGTGTGACGGCAATGGGTTTGTCAGCTCAGGGCAGTTCATACACGGCACGAATACATCTGATTTGCCATCAACAAGCCCCATTTACAAGAAAAAGAGAAAAAAAATGATATAGGTCAAGGTACGTAAATACACGGTTAGAGCATGACGTCACTTATATGACGACTCGGTTTAATGTTGGCTGACATTAGTACTCTTTTTTCCTAAACTAAAATTGTCAATTTTCTTAAAAAAGAATTTGCTATGCAGACCTGGCAAGAGTCAATGATATACGAATCTCGTAGACCGTAGGTACAGTATGTTATACATAAACAATGTCGATAATAACGTATTATGTATTCACTGGGGTATTCTGTCTCTTGTGTTTTTTCCGATCTTGTAAGGGCTAAAAATTAATTGTAACTTAGTAGAACTGGAGTTATCCAGTCCATCCATAATACATGGCGAAAGTACTTTCCACCAAGCAGCAAAAAGATTTTTTTACAAGGACCATAAACTTTTTTTTTCTTATTTCCTGGCACTAAGGCGTCCAGCCTTTGGCCATATGCAATTTCGATTGAGTTGCCAATTTTTGATAATTCTTCCAATATTTTCTTCCTTCTTGAGACTTCAGGATATCATTGTCGTCGCAGTTGTTGTTGTGTAACTTTGATGTGGGTTGACGGTTACTAATGGGATTTAAAAACGGGGAAAGGAAATCGCGGAATAAAAATAAAAGCAAAAGGAATTTTGGTGCGGTGATCAACAGGATAGGGTAGGTAGTATATGTAGGTATATCTAAACAATGAAGGATGGAAATTATGAAAGGAAATGGAAATGAGATGGTAATAGCTGAAAATAATAAGTGCATAAAAATGGAATAAGTGCGAAAACAATTTAGTCTCCACAGATAACAAAGAAAATGTAACCCAGAGTCACTTCATAGTAAATTCCTCCTTTATTTTTTTCCATCCTTTATGGTAAATTCTTAGACTTTTATTTTTTTTCATCCTCTAAGGGTAAATTCCTATTGAGTACTTCAAATATTTGTCACTTGTCGTCGTGTCAGTTTTTAGTTTCTTATTTGAGATTTTTTTATCCGAACTTTGTGTCCTTTTGCCTTGTTTCTATCATTTTCCTCTAAACTTTTTGCTAATAAAAGAAATCACTTAACAATCGAGTTACCAATTCTAGTCTCAATGCACCGAGAAATTACGAAGCGAACTAAATACTCTGGAAATCTACTTTGATCGTATCAGCGTTTTAATATGTTAATAAATACATAAAAACAAAGTCAAGTTATTATAGCGGAACATATAATATATGCAAATGTGAACAGCGAGAACCAACCAACACATCAAGAGCCCAAAAAATTGTACGATATATTTAAAGAAAAAATGAGCACCTATGATTAACACACAGATCACAATATATTCAACATGAGTAAAAGATCTTCAAGTTTCTTTTTCGACGCTTTTGTGTTTACAACGTCTTTTGTGATATCGTACAACTTTTTGTCGTATATGCTTGATACTTATCGTCGTCGAGAATAAGTCCGATGCAGTGAGACCGCATAAAACGGCACTACGGCCCATTGGATCTTCACCGTAAACAAAATCTACACTTTTCTATGGGTTTCATAAAATGATGTGATGTTCAGACTGCTTGTTAATTTTATTCAGTAACATTAAGTTTTGTTGAGTAACATTTGTTACGCATTACTTACCCTTTTACGACGTTTCCTTCCAGGATAAGTATTTAAGGGTTGTGGCGGTGGTGGTATGTGGTAGAAATAAGGCGCTGTGTACATTATGTCCTCGATAGCGGGGGCGAGGGGCGTCGTTCGCGACGGCATCATGGATCGTACTGTCCCGTACATGTTCCGATTACGCCCTTGATTTGCGTACATGCTGATCATTATACATTAATCCACTGAAATGTTCTCAAACCGCTTTTACTCAAGCTGCATTCGCGCGATAAAAATCTGAAGCACAGTTTTCACTGACCGCAGTGTAAGTAGAACTTATTTTAGAACAAAAAATAAGCCACTAATGTAGTATACATTTTTAAATTAAGATGTAACGAGGTCTCTAATAGATAAATATTTTATGGAAATATTTGGATCCCTAGCACCTCGTTGGCAAATGGGACTGGAGAGCGCGCGGGTGAAGCGGTCCGGGATTGTATGCGCACGCGACTTGTCGAGATGAACAGCGCGCTTCACGTTACAGTATGAAATGCGTGTACACATGCTCTTGGGGCGTAGAGACACAATCATGTACACATTACATCTAATTATCATAGTTTATCTGCTTTTTCCAATGGGCTACGTGGAGCGCGAAGTTTCGACATAGTTGAATACTCAGTGTTGCCCGTGGAGTTACGCTCTTTCCTATGTATAATAATAATATAAATTACTTATTCAAACAACATTTTTTTTCAAGCTCCAATGGTATTCAATTAACACATTTAAATTAAATAAATATTAGACAATATCACATACGTGGCTATGGTCCCAAAGTAAGTAACTAAAACACTTGTGTTAATGGAAATCGGGAACAACGACGGTACCGCAAACACCCAGACCCTCGCTCGATAATATAGAAAAGTTAATTTCTACATTGACCCGGCCGAGAATCGAACCTAGGACCTCAGAGGTGGCGCACCATGAAAACCGGTGCGCAAGCCGCTCTACTATGATGTACGCCAATAATTATTATTTGACGTGAAACGTAGCAATGAACTTAAAAATAAATGTTTTACTAAATACTTATAACAGATACAATCCAAAATTATTATTAGTAGAGATTTGAAATTGAAGGAAAAAAAGCACGCACGCAGCTCGCGCGCCGATCCACTTCACTAACTTTAAAAAGTTGTCATTGCATGTTTACATTATCAATTGACTGACTAAAATGTGGCTAATAATCTCATCATGTAGCATCTCCACGATGTCATATAGGACGTCTCTGGCCGAGCCCTTTTGGGACACAATTTCAGCGTGCGGCTATCATGTTATCAAAGTACAATACTAAAGAAAATGCTTGAAACAAATTTTACATGGACCAGGCCCCATTATATTATGTATGGGAAACCAGATTTAAAAATCTAGATCAATCTGATTTTAGACTAAAAAATATAGACAATTTTGACGTTACTAAGTACGGATTTAATTTCCTGTGTGGTATAAAGATCAGATTACATAACAGTAGGTTTTACAAATAATTATATTCACGTCCGTACTTATAAAAAAAAACTAGTAGTGCCATCTGTCGTTTATCCATAGAACTAGGACGAAGTTTATTTCAAACACATGATGTTAGCCGCGTGGCTGTACCAACACATTTCATGCAATATCGCAGAGATGGCGTTGTGCCTAATTAATAGAAAAGGAAAGCGTGCAGACCTGTTGTTTATTTTGTGGTAGGTTTCGCGTAGGATATTATTTTTAATACACACGGCTTAGAATAATAACATGATTTCCAATCAATAGTCTTAATGTAAGTCTCACCCCATTCTAACAACCATATTGCATTGACAGAGCCTACTGGAAATCCAAAGAGAAAAAATATGTCATCGAAGCTTCACTCATATAATAATACCTTAAAATTTCACGTCAAAAATGTGTTCCTCATAATTATTTATTTTCTAAAAATGGCTAAACAGCGAAAGAGAATATTTAAATCCTGATTTGGGCCATCGCAACACAATCTTTGTATAATCCGTAGCTACCAACAGTTCTTGCGTATGCGTTATATCTGGCGTTAATTCGAAAGCCATGAATGTTGTTGGTAACTTTACGAGGGCATTTCTCGGTCTCGTTTTGGACACTGTACACTGCTCTCCCCTGCTTGGTAAAGATAATGGTTTCGGAAAAGACTATGTATGGGCGGGCTCTTTGGAGTCTGGAGTACAGATTGCCTCGCACCACCATAAACCTTTGATGGTGATAATACACAAATCATGGTGCAAAGCTTGCAAGAACCTAAAGCCAAAGTTTGCCACCTCTCCTGAGATCCAGTCTCTAAGCCAACACTTTGTCATGGTCAATTTAGTAGACGACGAGGAACCGGAAAGCAGTAGTTTTGCCCCCGATGGAACATATATTCCCCGGTAAGCATATATATTCGTGTGAACTAATTTATCTACGGTTCTTAATTTAACCAGAAGTATCTCCCACTTGCTTATGTCATTCCAGAATATTGTTCCTATCACCAACCGGTAAAATCGACGGGGATATCATAAACGAAGAAGGCAGCTCTCAACACAGATACTTCTACAGTAAACCGGAGCAAATAGCTAAATCAATGAAAAAAGCTCTTCAGAAGTACAAACACGAACGATTCGATGTATGAATGTTTCTAATAAGATTGATTTGTAATAATTTTATGCGCCCGTCGTTACTCTGACTAACAACTATAGTACTGTAACACTTCAATGATAAAAAAATTATTACTTACAGGAAGTACCTAAAAGTAACAGATCGAAATAAAATAGAGGGTGAAAGAGAGAAGATATCGAATTAAGTACTTATATCGAAACGTCCGAGTAAAGATGGAGCTTGTGGGGGATATTTTAAATTAAATTGACAAGCAAATATTGAATTGTTTCATAATGAAATACACTATTGAGCAAACGACCACACGGGAGATCTTCTGTTTTGGAAAGTCTTAGTAGCACTAGAGGTCCTTGTGAAAGAGTTCGTCCAGGGAAGTACTGCCACCTTTCCTATTTCTGCCGCTGTGTTCCGGTTTTGTAGGGTAAGGGTGCTGGTGAAATTACAGGCACATGGGACTTTTCAACTTATCACTCAGATCTTATAGATAAGAAGCTCTGAGTGGCACTGCTATGGACAGGCGTGTAAGTAGCTTAACATCAGGCGCACGACTTGTTCGTCCCGTCACTTGATATAAAAAAAGTCAAATAAGACACCGGTAGATTCTTATATATATTTTAACACATTTTTTTTAAATTTTACTAACTGTTCTTAAAGTATTTACCTAAGATCATTGACACAAGCCCTCTTAGTTTCCTTGTAAACGGTTCTGTTCACTGGTACCTGTATATACACGCGTTAATGATTTGTGCCTGAAATGTCTTTGTGTTTGAGTAACTAAGATACTTACGTCCTCCACGACGGGTTCGACGTACATCTCCATTGTGTTGTTGAGCGGCGGCAGCAACATGGGCGATGCTGCAGACGAGGACCGCCGAGAAACGCTGGTACACGAGCATTGGGACATAGACCGACGCGATCGGGGCGATTCTCTGTGAACAAATAGCAGAATTTTTGTAGACGATGCACTGATAGCACTTGTCACCTAATGCCGACGAAATATAGATAATAATTCACTGAGTTGATATAAGTAGCTGGCAAAGAAGGTACTACCAATACAAACAACTCTTCATATCAGTATGACATGCTAGCATGACCACCAATAAACGGTCGCCATTATGATTATAATCAGGTGCGGTAAGGGGAACAAACTTTATTTTGAGTCATATGTTTTGAGCTCTAAGAATAACAGTAGGGCTAGCATGACATGGCGCGACTAGCGCGAGAGCGACAAAGGGCGAGATACTGTTATTCTCACATAGAGATCTCGTGTTTTATGTCGCTCTCGCGCAAGTCGCGCTAACCCTACTGATAGGCGTATAATAATTTTGAAGGACACTAAACCTGCCGTTGTCTATCTGCTTTACATGTTTTACCAATCATTGTGCTAAATTCAACACTTACGATGTATTTACCGAGAAAGTTGAAATGGCACTAACATTTCTCTTACCCCAAAAGATGGTGTACCAGAAACATTCATCGTATTTCAAAAAAACAATGTACCTATACCCCGTGTTCTCAAGATTACACAACTGCCAAATTTGTTTTTCCGCCTTTTGGATTTGGAGCATCGTAGCGGCATTTCTTTAAAATTGTTTAAACTAATTTGTTTGTCTGTTTCATCAACTGAGAGACTATAGTGCTAAACTCTTTAGATAATGGATTAAGACTACAAATCTCTGTTCCCCCGGTATTCCTCTTAGCCTAACCAACCATTTGACTACACCGATGATCCGCAAATTGGCTCCTACAAGGAGTCCATGTCAGCGAAAAAATTAGGATTAAACTTTAGTGGGGGGTCCACGAAAGTTCATTCACATCAAGTCCCATTTAGGCAGGTCGAATTCAAAATTTTGGCTTTGGATAAATGGAATAATCCACATTATACAGATTAGAACAGCCTTTCCCAAAGTGGGCGATAACGCCCCTTTGTGGGCGCTGCAGGCCTAAAGGGGGGCGGTAAGAGACCCAGAAAAAAATGGGGGCGTTGTGTAGAGGCTTAGGGGGAGATTTGTAATTTCATCTAGGAAGACTCTTAGACAACGACTGAGCTCTCGACTCTCGACTATGACTTGTGAATATCAACAAATATTAAGAAATTGCTCAAACTAACTCGGTTCGACATTTTTCTCCGTGTAGTTCATATCTGTCCTGTTTTATTGAATAAATAAAATAAAAATCATGTCAATCGGTTGCTCCGTTTCGAAATGAAAGTAGACACAAACTAACAAATAATAAGGCAACAGAAACAGTTCGCATTTTAATAGTTATTAATATTCCTAGATAGGTAATTTTTGTAAATAATAGACCGCGGGCAATCATGTTTTAACAAGTTTTTGTTAAATAACCCGATTTGTGCATTCCTGTATCAATCGGCTGGTTCATAGAATACTTGTTCTTACTTGTTGAGTACGACTGAGCGTCGAATGAGATAAGACGAGTTTATGCATGTTTGTCTTATTCCTGTCGGTGCGTGCTGCCTATGCAATCCTATATAAACAAAGTAATATTTATTTTATGAATGAATGAAGCCTTCAAGACCGTCAGATCATTTGAATAAAATGCATCCAGATAAGAAAGACAAGAATGTAGCATATTTTCAAGACCTAGAGAAGAAGCATAATACTCAGCCAAGTGTAGCAAAACTCTTTTCGGCGGCTGCTAAGCAAGATGACGACGGACTTCGAGTTTCGTACAATATCTCTTTGTTAATTGCTCAAAAAGGCAAACCACACAAATCGGAGAAGAAGTAATTTTGCCAGCGATAAAGAAAATAGTAACTGTTGTGCTTCATAAACCGGCCGCATATTATCCGAAAAATTCCTTTGAGAAATAATTCTGTGCAAAGACGAATTGATGAAATGGCTGAAACATTGAAGAATCATTGTGCAATCATCTGAGGACTAGTTAATTCTCAATTCAGCTCGATGAGTCCACTTTACCAACTTATGAAGCATTGTGTTGCAACTCTTACGTAAGGTTTATTAAAGATGAGAAAATATGTGAAGAACTATTGGTTTCTAGAAATGTAAGTGAACGACTATTTCAATCACTGCAATATGTCATCAAAGCAGTCAATAAAATCCGTAACAATTTTTTGAATGATAGATTATTTCATCAGCATTGTGTTACTAACGACGAAGATTTCAACCGTTTGTTGTTTCATACTGAAGTTCGTTGGCTATCAAGAGGCAATTGTCCGACTCGATTTTACAACCTGTTTGACTCTGTGATAGAGCTCTTGGAAACTATAGATACAGAATTGGGCAACAAGCTCATTACATCAAAGAATGATATAGCTTACATGACAGACCTGTATAAATTGTTCAACGATATGAATCTCCAACTGCAAGGCGATGAACTAAATTTAATTAAAACTAAAAATGTCGTTGCTGCTTTCGCAGCCAAACTGCTTCTACACAAAAGGAATATGGACACACGTGAGTTTCACAATTTTCCGAATTTATCAGTATCCTGCAGTAACGACGACTTGTTTGCCTAGTGCCAACATTTGGAAAACCTTCACATTGACTTCACCGAACGATACCAAGACATTTTGAACTTGGAAATACCAGACTGGGTGTTGGATCCGTTTTCAAATGTCAACACAGCAATATCACCTGAGCTGGAAGAAGAACTTATAGAATTGACAACGAACGAGGAAATAAAAATTAAGTTTAAAAATGACTACCAAGAATTTTGGCAACGGTCAATCGTTCAACGACTCTTGATAGCATTCCCATAGTCATCGTGGTTTTAGTGCTATGACAACGCGGCTTACTAAAAAGAGAAATCGTTTGCATGTTACCGAACGTGGCGACTTGCAGCTGCTCTTGAGTAAATTGGAACCTGATATCAACAAACTTATTAAACAGCATCGGATTCATCCTTCACATTAGTTTTTATATTAGAATCGATTATGTTTGTTTTATTTTGAACAAAAGATACTCTGTCTGAATACTATAAAGTTGCGTTTCAATAATCATTCTCATTGGCAGGTGTACTGGTAAAAAAAGGGGTACTAGTTAACTCTTGTGGATTATAGTAAAAGTCTCGTTTAGAATGAATGTTTAATCTCCGCTAATATAGCTCACAATAATTAATTTTATTTGAAGTTATAGTGGTTTTTAAGTAGATGAAAAAATTAGGGCGCTAAAAAATAATTTATTCTCAAAGTGGGCAGTAGACAAAATAAGTTTGGGAACCCCTGGATTAGAACATATGTAAATTTGTACTAATAATGCAACACTCTCTTATACAGACATATAAATTTTTATGTACTTCTTAAACTTTTCACAACAATCAAAGTATTTCAGTTTGGTAAATGTATAAAACTTAACATCGATTTTTTTTTAAATTTGTCGTTAGCATGGTGTCAGCTATAATACACAAATTTGAGGCTGTCGTGCAAAAGTGATGTAACCCCTTGAAATGCATACTATGGGATTTAAAATTCGCCAAATTCATGTTATATCATTTCTATTTTTTTTAATTGCATGAAAATAGCATCAAAATATACAATAATAATAAATTATGTACTTTAGTATCATTTAAAGTAATATTGTATAACAAAAATTAAATGTGGCTTACACTACTTTTGCGCTGATAACTTCATTTAAAGTTGAAATATTGGTGTGCAAGAAAGGAGTCTCGTACTGACGTATCATACGTTTCCTGTACAATTGACGCACCCTGGCTACAATGCACTATACATACATACAAACGATGCAATCGCTAATCGGTCTATCTTTTCCATAGAGTATATAACCACAAATAGAAACAAAATATCATTTAATTTGTTTGAAAACTATTCTGCCACATCATTACTGTGACAACTGCGCTCCGATTGGCTAGCCCGAGTTCGAAACCATTGACGGGTGTCGTCAACTGTTTCACTTCAAATCGACCAGTTAACTTGAGCTTTGCTATAATGGACGAAAATTGCATAATTATATATTTACTATTTAATTACCGATGAAATGTGATTAAGTTTGTTTTGTAATTAGATGTTTTGCTGTTTTACCCACACCACCGAATGCCTTGCTGTTCTACAGCACGGCATTGTTAAAGATATTATCTTTATTACAATAAATACAGAATATTTTTTGGAATATACGGAGACGTACACAAAGCTCAGTAGTTGGCCTGTCTGTCTATATTTCAATGCAAACGAGAGTTGATATTTATAAGAGCTGTATCGCTAGTGTGTTACCTTAGTTACCAAGAATATGTGGTCCTTATTTCGACTCTATTTCTGGTTATATACTCGATGACCTTTACACACGTGCGCGACTTTAAGCAGCGA